AAAACACCCAGTTCAAATAAATGTTCTTGGCTCTGGCTAAGGGGCAAACTGACCTGAAAGCTCTTATCATCTAAGAGAAGGCGAAAAAGGAAAAGAAACTAGCTGGTGTATTGAATTTGGGAAGAAGGTTCAGAGAACCGGCTAAGAGAGCTCTAGATTTCCAACCCCGTCAAACGAGGGGGACAATAAATAGGAGAAGCCAACAAAATAAAACAACAACCCCGGGACTAACGAGGAAGAGGCTGGCTACTCTGAGGAACAATATCCTCTTGGTGATGATTAATAAAAATAGTTGGAGGATTGTCTCAATGATATGGAGATTTAGAGGGTACCCGGGTTAGATTTTAAAGAGTTAGGACTGGTCTCAGGAGTGGTCATCCCACAGAAATTCAAGGTCCCCCTACATTTGCTAAGTATGATTGTGCCTCTTGTCCTAAGCTGCACTTAAGGTCATATGTCAAGAAGATTCAACCCCACACTACTGATAGGAATCTGTGGATACATTCCTTCCAAAAAAGTTTGCCAGGGACATAGTTGGAATGGTACTATCAGCTGGAGCGAACCAACACCCATCATTGGGAAGACCTGGCTGTTGCTTTTTATAAGCAGTACCAATATAATGCTGACCTCGCGCCAACTCGTACACAATTGCAAATTATGTATGTGGATTCTGATGAAGGTTTCAACGATTATGCCCAAAATGGATGGATCTTGCGGGAAGATTCCAACCTCCTTTGTCTGATAGAGAGCTGGTGGACATGTTCTTAGGCACGTTGTCTGGTCCATTTTTCAACCATCTGATTGGAAGCACTTTAGTAGGGTTTACTGAGCTGATTTTGACTGGTGAGCAGGTAGAAGCTGGTATCCAGAGTGGTAAGATCCAAATAGATGCATCCTCAAGTACGGTAAGGAAACCCTTCACTGGAAAGAAGGAGGTCAGTGCTACTTATGGCCAGAGAAATCAAAGCAAAACTGAACATTGTCTGACAGTAGGGGAGGTTATGATCTCTAATCCTGCATCAAATCAACAACAAAACAACCAGCGCAGGCCGGATGCACCAAGAAGAAAGTTCACCCAGATCAACATGACCTTATCCCTGGTTTTACCACACCTGTTAAAGTCCAATCTGGTGACCTTAAAGGATGCTCCTAAGAAAAACCAATACTGCATCTCCCTGCTACAACCCAAAAACTCGATGTGCCTACCACTCTAAAAGCCCAGGGCATTATACAAACGACTGTTTGGCTCTAAAAAATAAGGTGCGGGATCTTATCGAGGCGAAAGAGATTGAGTTTGACCCTCTGGAGACCCCTAATGTAATAATTGCACTAATGCCCAAATATGGCCAGGGTGTCAATGTCGTTGATGATGACCTGTTTGTTTCTTCTATGAATGAATTAGCTACTCCTCTTCTGATTGTTAAAGAGAATCCGTTGTGAGCCAGTTTATTTCCGGGCTGTGGTGAGGATTGCCACTTATGTATGTCTCTATCAGATGGTTGTTTGTTGTAAAAGATAGGTGTCCAACGCCTGATGATTAATAAAGAAATCTTGTTTGATAAAGTTCCCCCTGCAAAAAGTTCGTGTGAAGATGTATCAATAATCACAATTTCCAACAATCCTCCCAGGGTCTCCACCAAAAGTCCCGTCAGGATTACATCCGTTCCCAAGTTTGCTCCCTTGATTATCACCCTTCCTGGGCCGATAACATATTCCTCTGATAAAGTTGTTCCTTGGAGTTATGGGACTAGCGTCTGAAAAAACCGGCTGAAAATCATCAAATAATGAAGTCGCCATCGAACGTCTTTTATCCCACATGTAGGGAAAGGTAAACATTGAGTAAACCTGAGAAGGGAAAAGTCACGGTCTTGCGATCGAGAGATAAGGGTAAGGGAGTCTGTTACGCGAGGGGAAGGTATTAGAACCCCACACGCCTGTAGTACTCTATGGTATCCACTCTTGTTGTCTATCTTATGGGTGTGTTCAATCTATGCTTACTGTTTATTACTGCTAAAGGGAGAATGCATGCAAAAGAAAGGAGAAAAGAATTTAGGGAAAATAAAAGTTGTGCTCGTTTGGGCCCTACCCCGATGCCTACGTATCCCTTTTAAGGAATCAGAGCAGCCATAGTTCGGCTCATATGTTTTTGTTGGTTTGTATTTTTTAATGAACAATATTAATTTCGCCTTCTGCCGCAACTCGACCTTTGGAGACTTACGCGTCACCACATAAGTGAATTAACATGCTCTTTTGAAAAAGTTTTGAATTGGTTTGTGTTTTTAATGAACGATATTAATTTCGCCTTCTGCTGCAACTCGACCTTCGGAGAATTACGCGTCAACATGTAAGTGAACTAACATGTTCTTTTGAAAAGGTTTTGAAAGAAAGGCCCAAAGGCAAAAATAGTTTATACCGGTTGGTGTTTTCGCTTGTGGATAACAGCTAATTAAGCTCAAGAGAGAGATTTTAGTCATTTCTCCACTTATTCACGAAATAAGTCTTTGAGACTTGAACCACACCTAGTCTTAGAATAAGAGAACAATAAGGTCGAGAAGGAACCCGCTTATCATCTCTCAACTTAACAAAGATATGATTCTCATCAGTAAATTTTTTTTAAGTTTTTTGAAGTTTGTAAGAAAAATAAGTTTTTGTTTTAGTGTAAATGCAAAAGGAAAAGAAAAGTCAAAGGGGAGACTAGCCTATTTCTATACCTAAGGTTATCATACTTCACACAATCCCTAGGAAGCGATAGATGTGGAGTGAATGTATAAAGAAAATATACCATACGAGTATTAGCCCGTAGAGTAAAGCAAAAAGCAAAGAAACCCGATGACCTCGCGAGCTGCTAGTTTCAATAAAGAAAAAGAGTCAGAAGTTGAACACGCAGTATAGGTATCGAAGCGCCATTGATGTGAAACTAAATCACAATAGAAAACTCAATCATATATGCATACCCTGCATAGTATTCCAACCTCAAAAGTAAAAGTAGGTTAGAAATGTTAAGAATTTAAATAATCAGTATTTAATTCCTAAAAAAACAAAGATAAAAAATCTAACACATTTTATTGATGTTACTATTTTTATCATATGAAGAAAATTCCCAATAATCGAAAGCAAGAATTACCAAGAAAAAAGAAAACTGGGGGTGTATTATTCTAGACATGGATTGAATCAGTAATTAATACCAAGGCCCATCATGAAGGTCCACTCTTTTTTTTATTCAATTCCTAATATGCTTACAAAAATAACAAACAAACTGTAATGGGCTTCAAAGGGTGATCCATCCCAACGCAAACCTTTCCAAGTCCACTCACTCAATTTTTGGTATTATTGTTTGATTAAAAAAACAATTAATGATGTAAAAAAAAAGAGAAGAGGAAAATAATATTTAAGAGGAATTTAGGGTTTTTATTGCGTCCTTTTAGCTTTGTCTACTCGCAAACTCTATCCTCCCTTCTTCTTCAACCCGTCGGTGCAATCTCCGAAACCCCTTTCGTCGCACCGATTTTTTCCTCTGACGCCATAGCCCCCGTCACCTTTGTCTACTCACCATCATCCACCGCGAACCCTCTCTATCACTCGCCTCTCTCTACGAACAACATTGTTGTCATGGTGTCAAGATCCCGAACCACTGTTTATCGCTTTTAACAGCTTCCTCTCAGCCTCGGCCAATCATAACAATCGAAATCGAACTCTAGTATGAAGCTACGAAAATCAAGGAAAAATAGCGAAGAGATGGAGTTTAAGGATCTTACCAACCGGAGTATGACCGGCGCATCTTAAATGCTTTTGTAAAGAAAACGATTTCAGAGATAATCTGGTAGGTTCTTTCCAATCTCGCGCGTTTGAACTTCGATCTTCACTTCTCTTTCTTCTTTTTTTATTTATTTCTGTTACGCGTTTCTGTGTTGATGCCTCGCGTGGTTGTTGCGATGTTGATCGTTATGCGTTTTATTTATCGTTTGATGCAGAAATGAAGATTCAGTGATGGAGATTTTGCAGAGGGAGAGTGAATGAAGATGAAGATGATGGTAAAAGGGGGTCAATGTGAAGAATGAAGGTCGATGATGCTGTGTTGAAGCAAGGTGAGGAAGAAGATGCAAAGTTGATAGAGGATATTTGTAGAGAAATAATGGCCAATGAGGATCTAAGAGAAACGGATGTTTTTTCTAAGGTGCTGATAGGTAGCCAGAGTGAAGAGGAATGAAGAGATCCTTTTATTGGTGAGCTTTTTTCTCTGATTCTGATTTTTTCTTTTGAACCATCGTCTATCTTTTCCTCTCTTTCTGTATTTTGTTATATAGATTTTCTGTTGAGAAGTTTGTTAGACTATTAGGAATGATGTTTGAATCAGTTAGGGAATGGTTGAGAATTTGTTAGAGGGTTTTTAGAGGTTATTTAGGAATTGGTTGGGTAGTTGGGAAATTGAACTTGAAAGTTAGTTATTGCTTATCAAATTCTGTTATGAGCTGTCCTGTTAGTTGTTGGGTTCTGTTTAGAAATTGGTTGTTATACAGAGCCGCCAATTCTTGTTTTCTGATGCAGGTATGTAGCATGTTGTTTGGAATGGTTAATTACAACCCTCTTTTGAAGTTCTGTTAGATGGCTAAGAAATTAAATTAAGTTGATTACTGACCATTACAGGCTAGTTAGACGTTGTTAGTTCCTAGTTTTATTTGAACTCTTAAGAAAAACAAGTTAGTTCTATTAGATGGCTTAAAAAAAGGTTGAAAGTTAGAACTCTGTTGGTTTAAATTTATTCCTGATTTTCTATTAGTGAATGCAGCTTAGTCATTGACCTTCTTCTCTTTTTTCGTTATTTTTTTTATTTCTGGTATGAACTAAATGCAGGGATGATTTGCAGTTGAGTTTTCCAAAATTGAGGACTATTGAACAACATTTATGAACATGGCAGGGTTGCGTATTTGGATTTGGTGCAGGCCAGGAATCGTTTTGACACGCCTTCAATAATTATATGCAGGTTCGGTTGAGTCTGGCTGTCAGCTTGGTTTTGAAGCTTGAAAGAAAACAAGAGATTTGGTTGAAGCACTCCAAAGCACGGCCTGACGAAAGTGAGCAGCATGAAGAAAGCTTATGACATTAGAACTAAAGAAAATGATTTGTGCAATTTTTTTTGTATTTGATACACTTTGAATGTAGTAATATTTAGTTTCTTTTCTTTTTTTGGAAAATAGTGATGGAAATTGGAATGAGATTTGCAGCCTTCTTGTTTTAATATCTGGGAGAGGAAATTCAATCTTCCTGTCTATTCGACCTGGTCGCAGCAAAGCTGGATTAAGGCTTTCAATTCTGTTGGTTGCGAGAATAACTTTTACATCTCCTCTAGAATCAAAACCATCTAACTGGTATAGCAACTCCAACATTGTCCTTTGAATTTCACGCTGTCCACCTGAGTGGGCATCAAACCAACCACTGTCAACATGTGATTCTAAAGGAGCTTTCTCTCTCTTCATAACAAAAACCATTTGATCAACTTCATCTTGAAGAAGCCCAACAACAAAAAGAACCTTATTATGCATCAGAATAGAGCAACCAGGTTCCAAATGATCCTTATCAGTGAAATATAATATCCCCACATAAAACTCAGGTCCAACCGAAGTAAATCCTAGTAACTTGATTAAGAATACCAAATGTTATATTCTCTTTGGTTCCAAGGAGAGATCCTGTAACATACAAACTGCTAGGACAAATTGGCTCAACAAGCAATGTGCTATCAACCCAATCATTAAAAGGTGGAAGGCCCCATTGCTCAGGTTGAAACTATAAAAGTGAATTAAGAGTAACATTTTCCAGCTTAAACAATCCGATTCGCCGGGAGATGGTGCTGTGACTATCTTCATTTTTGCAGCGTGAGCTGCCTTGACACCAACCAAGGAATATTCAAACACAAGGAAGTTCATTGCGTTTATGCTCATTCTCTTGGCAGCTTCTTTAAACAAATCAGGAGCAGGCTTCCCAAATTTAACCTGGTCATTTCCTAGAATTACATAGAAGCTTTCTGTCCAACCTTTTTGGTAAGGAATCTATGCATATATGTATTTGAAGCAAGAGCCATCGGAACACCATTTTTCAAAAAATGTTTGATTATTCAATTAGCACCAGGAAATTCTTTGGATTTTCTCAACCTTTGAATATAGAGAGGGTTAATTTCTTTGATAAGCTGTTCGGGAATTAATGAGATTCGATAATCCTTAACAATTAAAACTGTTGATTCCTTCCGAGTCATTCCTAACCCTTTTCTTTTCTTCTCTTTCCTTATTCACTTCTTTCCCATACTTTCCCAAGAACTCATTCAAAAAACCCCTTGTATCCCTTTCAGTATCAAGAAGTGTGCTATCTAGGTCAAAAATGACAGCCAAAATATTGGGTTGATTGCTGAAGCCATTGATCTTGCAACAGTTGCTCATGGCAGTATAAAAGATGAGATTGGAATTGGTGGATTAGGAGTTTAAGGAATAATGTGTGATGACTGTTATTTGGAAAGAACTCAAATGAAATTGCGGAACTTTGACGGTACTTGAATAGAATTATCCCGAAAACCTTGATTCTATACATACTCCTTACGAAAACTTTTTGCAAAATAGAACTTTGAATTATGTTGAATGCAATGATCTTTTCCAAATAAATGAACAATTTATGTCCTCAATTTGCCTTTGTATTTTGCATCATTGATAACTAATTCTTCTTGAAAGCTTCATCATGTCAAAGATGTTCGCCCGGTCTTACGAAGACATGCCTGGTTTGGACACTGATATTGTGGTACACCGCCTGCCAACCAAAGAAGACGACCCTCCGATAAAACAGAAGGTTCGCTGTATGCGCCCTGAGATGTCTGAGAAAATCAAAGCTGAGGTCATGAAACAGTTCGACGCGGGATTTTTAGCTGTCACTTCTTATCCGATGGGTTGCCAACGTTGTTCCGGTGCCTAAGAAATATGGTAAAGTAACGATGTGTATGGACTATAGAGATCTAAACAGGGCGAGCCCCAAGGATGATTTCCCACTTCCACACATCGATGTTCTGGTCGACAACACCGCGCAACATAAGATCTTCTCCTTTATGGATGTTTTTTTTGGTTACAATCAAATCAAGATGGCTCCCGAGGACATGGAGAAGACAACTTTTGTTACACAGTGGGGCACCTTCTGTTACAAGGTAATGCCTTTCGGGTTGAAGAATGTTGGGGCAACGTATCAGCGCACCATGGTCGCTTTATTCCACGACATGATTCACCATGATATTGAGGTTTATGTTGATGATATGATCGCAAGGTCCCAGACTGAGGAAGAGCACCTTGACCATCTCCAGAAAGTGTTTGACAGGTTGAAGATGTACAAGCTGAGGTTAAACCCGAACAAGTGCACCTTCGGGGTAAGGTCTTGTAAGCTGCTCAGTTTGCTCTTCAGTGATAAGGGTATTCAGGTAGACCCTGCCAAGGTAAAAGCCATACAAAAGATGTCGGCTCCCCGCACAGAAAAGGAAGTTAGAGGATTTTTAGGACATCTGAACTACATCGCCTGATTCATTTCACATCTGACTGCTACTTGTGAGCCAATCTTCAAGTTGCTGAAGAAAGATCAAGTGGTAAAATTGAATGATGAATGTCAGACCGCTTTTGAAAGGATCAAAGAATATCTTCAAGAACCACCAATTCGGATGCCTCCAGTTGAAGGAATACCTTTGATCTTATACTTGACAATACTCGACAATTCAATGGGGTGCATGCTGGGGCAGCATGACGAGTCTGGCCAAAAAGAGCATGCTATTTACTACCTTAGCAAAAAGTTTAACGACTGTGAGACACGATACTCACTGTTCGAAAAACTTGCTGCGCTTTGGCATGGGCTGCTCGCTGGCTGAGACAATATATGCTGACTCACACTACCCTATTGATATCAAAGATGGCTCCAATCAAGTATATCTTCGAAAAGCCTGCCTTGTCCGAAAGAATAGCAAGATGGAAGATGATCTTAACTGAGTATGACATCCAATACACAACCCAAAAAGCAATCAAGGGGAGTGTATCGGTGGATCATTTGGTGCATCAGGCCGTGGATGACTACCAATCCATGAATTTCGAGTTCCTAGATGAAAACATCATGTTGGTGACCGACTATGAAGAACCCGGACCGAAAGAAGGACCTGAGGAAGGATCCCGATGGTCTATGCATTTCAACGGAGCCTCTAACGCATTGGGTAATGGCATTGGCGTTGTGATTATATCTCCTGAGGGTTTTCATACTCCGTTCACTGCCCGATTATGCTTTAATTACACCAACAATATGGCGGAATATGAAGTGTGCATCGTGCGCCTTCGAGCAGCTATTGACCTGAGGATTAAGTTTTTGAGTGTATTTAGAGATTCTTCTCTAGTGATCAGTCAGATAAAAGCCGAGTGGGATACGAAGCACCCAAATCTTATTCCTTACAAAGATTATGTACTGAAATTGCTCCCGCACTTTGAGGAGATAACCTTTGAACACTTCCCAAGAGAGGAGAATCAGTTAGCGGACGCGCTAGATACCATGTCCTCTATGTTCAAAGTCAGGTGGGACAATGAAGCTCCCCAGATTACCATTAAGAGGTTGGATGAACCCGCACATTGCTGTGACATTAAGACTGAAGAGGTAGCAGATAAACCTTGGTTCCACGAAGTAAAGAGGTATCTTGAGGCTCACGAGTACCCCGAGAGTGCATCTGTTAATGATAAGAAATTCTTGAGAAGGTTCGTGCGAATTTTTTCATCAATAATGGGATTCTTTATAAGCGTAACCATGATTCGACCTTACTGCGATGTGTGGACAAGAGCGAGGCAGAAAGGATAATGGTAGAGCTACATGAAGGTACCTTCGGAACTCATTCCAGTGGACACACCATGGCGAAGAAGATCCTACGGGAAGGATATTATTGGTCCACTATGGAAGCCAATTGTTATCAACACTCTCAGACCTATCATAAGTGCCAAGTCTATGCTGATAAGGTGCATGTACGTCCAATTCCTCTGAATGTTTTGACAACAGCTTGGCCTTTCACAATGTGGGGCATCGACATGATAGGAGAGATCAAACCTACTGCGTCCAACGGGCATCGTTTCATTCTGGTGGCTATTGATTACTTTACAAAGTTGGTTGAGGCAGCTTCCTTTTCTACAGTAACCAATAACGTCCAGGCGCGGTTTATCCGACACAATCTGATATGTCAATATGGTGTACTAGAGATAATCATCACGGACAATGGTACAAATCTCAACAATACATTGATCACCAAGCTCTACAAACAGTTCAAGATACAACATCAAAACTCTTCTCCCTACCGGCTGAAGATGAATGGGGTTGTTGAAGCAGTAACAAGAACATCAAGAAGATTATACAGAAGATGACGGTGACATACAAAGAATGGCACGAGATGCTACCATTCACTCTTCATGGGTATCGCACCTCAGCGTGGACATCGACATGGGAAACACCCTACTCTCTGGTGTATGGCATGGAAGCAGTCCTACCCATCGAGGTCCAGATGCCATCCCTCTGGATCATGAAGGATGCAGGTTTGAGCGATGATGATTGGATCCAGACCCGACTTGATCAGTTGAACCTAATCGATGAGAAGAGACTTACTGCTATTTGTCATGGTCAGACGTATCAAAAGCGAATGATCAAGGCTTTTAACAAGAAAGTCAGACGACAAGAATATCAAGTCGAGGATCTGGTGATCAAACGCATCATACGGCTGCAAGATGATCCCAGGGGCAAATGGACCCCCACATACGAAGGGCCATTTGTGGTTAAGAACATTTTCTCGAGAGGAGCTATGATTCTAACCACCATGGATGGTGACGACCTTCCTCACCCCGTCAATGCAGACATAATGAAAAGATACTACGCGTAATTAAAGACCCGCTAGGTTGACTGGCCTAGGCAAAAATAAGGGCTTCCCGGCGAACCTAAAGGGTTCAGGAAAAAGTAAGGGATGAAAATAAAAAATAAAAAAATTGTACACCCGGCAAGTCGAAAACCTGAAAAGGAGGCTTGGGCAAAAAAGGGTATCCCGGTGGACTGAAAACCCGAAAGGACAGTCCAGGCAAAAATTAGGGATCAAAGCGTAACACTATGTCTCTTTGGATCATCTTGCAACCAGACTTCGGTATCGACTATCATGCTCGGACGACGCCAATCAATCTATCTACCTTCGACCAAGTAGCAAAGTGATGAGACGCTCAAAGATATAAAGGCAATAGTAGATTTGAAACCCAATGGGATTGTTCACATAGTTGTTTTTTTTTCTTTTACACAAATTGTATAATTTTTGTTCCCTCGGCGGCGTTCTCTTACTAGGACGTCAGCCCCTTTGTACAAAACGCCTATTACAGACCAACTTCAAAATCAATACAATTCAATTCCAGAAATTTCAAACTTGTTTTTTCTTTTTCTATTTTGTCTTGCAAGAACGTCCAATGATTCATTTTTGATATATGCATTTGAAAATAATTGTTGCTCATAAATATTTACATAACGAAACAAGAGACAATTACACGTAATTCTAGGAACAGGGGCAAAAAAGAAGTGTCCAAACCTTACAGTTGCTCTACCCACCGGGTACAGGGATGGAGCCAGCTTGAGAATGTAACTAAAGATACATACACTCCCGTATAGTAGGAAGTATCCAAAGACCATGGTATTAGCTCTCCTCAGCCAAGGTTCATAATCGCGAATGAGTCGGCAAAATTCCCCTAGCAGAGTTTATCTATCACCAGTAGCGGTAATTCATCCCCAGCTGAGTTTATTTCTCCAAATTGGCAGATCATCCAACATAATATCTTTCTTCCCCACAAAGTCTCTCTCGGCAGAATATTCTCAAGCTGAACGGATGCAAGTCTCCAGCTAATCATCTTCGGTCACTATCCCTAGCGAGAACGAAGAACTCAACTCCTTATATTCTCCAGCGGTAGTCCAGAAATTATTCCCTCCGGCTGGAGAATATTACAAGAACATTGCATACTCATACATCATGGCATGCGCATACGTATCATATAACACAATATCATTTATTTTGAGAACATCATTACTCAATACATTTCATACATCATGACATTACATACGACTAACTCTTTACCTTTCAGGGAAAGATACAATCAAATTCTCACAAGTTTCTCTTGGTTCATTCAAATCGATACTAAGATTTCTATTCCAATTCAAGCTATAAAGCCCGGAAATCGACCCGATAATATCTTGATATCTCCAAAATACTACAAAGCCTAGAATCGACCAGATAGTGGTATATCTTAAATACAAGCTATGAAGCCCGAAAATCAACCGGAAAATAGCTTAACCCTCAGCAACTTATTGTGAAGCCTGGAAATCGACCAGATAGAAATAAAAGATACCATGAAGCCTGGAATCGACCAGA